AGCCGTTGTTGTTGATGTCCGGGGGGGCAACAAGGCACATTGGCCCGGACTAAATTGTGAGGAAGTGTCAAGCGGGAGCGCCGTTCCTGAGAAAATTAAAAGAAAGTCTCAAACGGGGGGGGGTCCTGCGTAAAGTTGGAGGGAGTCTCAGGCGGGAACCGCTGTTGTTGTAGTCTGGGGGGCCAGGGGCACAATTTGACCAGGAAGACTTTCCTTCTGAACAAAAAAAAACAGGCGCGAGCGTCGAGGGGCAGGCACACACTTTGACTGAGAAAAACCATATGCACCGGTGAGGGGGACCAACAATAATTATTCTGCATATGTGAAAAATTCAACACAAACAGCAACAATACCAACAACAAAAACAACAATCACTTTAAGACTGTTCGCTCTTATCTGCTCGCGCGTCATCAATATGCATATCCCAAACCCTGGATACCCGCCCTCTTCGTCTTCGATCGCACCCCCTTTTTGGGGGATATATTCATTCCCTGCCACGCGCGGTCGGTGAAGCCCTTGAAAGCGAAGGGTAACAGATAACGGGGGAGAACGAGGACGAAGGGATCGGAGGAAGGGAGGGGAGGGTCGAAAAGGAAGGAGGACGATGATTTGCGCTGCGAGTGGCGATTCAGCTAGCGCCATGGCTTGCGCCAGCCACTCCAACACAGGTTAACAATAAGTTTCGCCGTGGGCCGCGCCATAAACAGCGCTACGTACCACCCCTTTTTTATTTTAAAAAATCGTGGATACCCCCGCGGGGGGACGTACAGAAACAAATTTCGTGGAACCCTGAAAAGAATCGGGATGTTGGGAAAGCGGGGCGGAAAAATGATGAGAACTGCAACCGTGTCGAGAGGAACGCGGGAATGTGGAGTGGATTGGGATAGAGTGGACAAAAGTAGGGTTTCAGGAGGAGGAGCGGCAAGGAGTGGAGAAGAGGAGCTGGGAGGAGTGCGGAGGAGCGGGGGGCGCACGGAGGAATCTGGAGGAGGCACTGGGAATAATGTAGGAGAAATGCGGGATGCGAGCGGGAAGGGGTGGAGATTGTTGGGGTGGGATGGGGTGGCCCGGGGAAGGGTGGGCGGAATGCGAAGAAATGGGGGATAGCAGAATGGAATACGAACGAAATGAAAATGATGATAAAGGGAATGAGTAAAAAAGTAAGGGGGTATCAGGCGGGAGCCTTGTTGGCGCGGGCCACGACGGGCGCGAACGAGCGGGGGGGCCGAAGGGCATACGTATCGGGGCCACAGACGGCAGCGACGGAGCCGCTGAGGGCAGAAGCGGGGCCACGAACGGCAGAGAGGGTGCCACGAAGGGCGACAGCGGGGCACGAAGGACATGCATATGGGGCCATGACGGGCGCGAACGAGCGGGGGTCACGAAGGGCATACATATATGGGGCCACAAAGGGCGACAGCGGGGCCACTGCGCAGAAAGTGGGCCACGAAGCGCAGCGAGGGGGCCACGAATGGCGACAGCGGGGCGACGAAACGCATGCGTATGGGACCACGACGGGCGCGAGCGAGCGGGGGCCACGAAGGGCAATTAATCCGGGGCCACAGAAGGCAGCGACGGGGCCGCTGAGGGCAGCAAAGGGGCCATGCATATGGGGCCACGACGGGCGCGAACGAGCGGGGGCCACGAAGGGCATTCGTATATGGGGCCACAAAGGGCGACAGCGGGGCCACTGAGGGCAGCAAAGGGGCCACGAAGGGCAGCGAGAGGGCCACGAAGGGCGACAGCGGGGCTACGAAGGGCATGCGTATGGGGCCACGACGGGCGACTGCGAGCGGGGGCCACGAAGGGCATATAATGCGGGGCCACAATGGGCAGCGATGGGGCCACTGAGGGCAGCAACGGGGCCACGAAGGGCAGCGAGCGAAGGCGACCGCGAAACCAATACGGGCAGCGAGGGGCATCGAAGGCGGGCAAAGGGCAGCGAGCGGCGACTGCAGTCCCGAACGGGCTGGTCGGGCGGGCAGGCCCAGACGGGCGGGTCGACCGGGCGGGTCGTTGAAGCGTGAGTCCTGCTTGAACCGCCAGGCAATATGTAGCGGGAGCGCGATTCCTGAGTGTCCAGGAGCGACATCTGAATACATTGGAACTATCAAACGGGAACCACGATCCGGTGGTAAATTGCAAGGAAGTCCCAAGCGAGAGCGCGATTCTTCCATAAATTGTGAGGAGGTATCAGGTGGGAACCGTTGTTGTTGTAAACCGGGGGCCAACGACATAGTTTTCCCCGCAAGACTTTCCCTGATAACAAAACAAGGTGCGAGCCCCGGGAAGGGCACTTCAATCAAAAAATGTGCACCGGATGGGGGGCATCAACAATAATCATTCTTCAGAAGTGAGAGTTCAACAACAACAACAACAACAACAACAATCATTTTACCCGAACGCTCAGTGTTCTCACCAGTGCCAGGGTTTTCATGCGACGCGAGACAATACCCCCACTTCGTGGGGGGGGCAGTTCAAGCTCTACCAAATATCCAAACGACTCTTCGCGACCACCCAAACCCAGCTTCCCGCCCTATGACGTTGGGACACTTCACTTCGTGGCGTGCGGACGACCGTGGCTACTACACTGGCGTGGGGTACACACCCACAGAACTTGGTCACTTATTCGGGGCGCGCGTGTGCCCAGCATCCTGCAATTGTGACATACAATACATGACACAGACAGACAGAGAGAGAGACAGAGAGCAGACAGAGAGAGAGACAGAGAGAGCGGAGTTGGTCACATTTTTGGGGCAAGTTCCTGAGATCGTCGTGTTTTTTGTTGGTCTTGCGCGCGCGAATGTCCACTTTACTTTTTTTTTTGCAAGGGAGTATTGAAATTTGATTATGTTAGAACAAGAAAAAGTAGCTCGCGCGAGCTCATGTAACATAAATGTTGAAAAACCATTGGTTTTGTGGGAGTCGGACAGCGCGCGCGGGATGAAATTTGGACATTTTTTTTTGAAAAACCATTGGGTTTTTGATGTTTTTATGTTGAAATCGTTACGAAACCTAAGGTTCTGGAAGGATTTCGTCTTGCGCGCGCGAATGTCCACTTTACCTTATTTTTTGCAAGGGATTATTGAAATTTGATTATGTTAGAACAAGAAAAAGTAGCTCGCGCGAGCTCATGTAACATAAATGTTGAAAAACCATTGGTTTTGTGGGATTCGGACAGCGCGCGCGGAAGGACATTTTGACAATTTTTTCTTAAAAAACCATTGGGTTTTTGATGTTTTTATGTTAAAATCGCTACGAAACCTAAGGTTTTGGAAGGATTTCGTCTTGCGCGCACGAATGTCCACTTTACCTTATTTTTTGCAAGGGATTCTTGCAATTTGATCAAGTAAGAACAAGAATTTTCATTTTCTATTGTTTTTTGCAAGGGAAAACGAGCGTCAACAAAAAACCGGATCCGGAGCTCATCCACTTTTCTGAAGCTTTCGCGAAAAAATGATGAAAATGTAGCTGCGGCCTAGGCGCGGCGCAGAGGTCGCGCACCAGGGGTCCCAACAATAATAATTCTTTAGAAGGAATAATGTTCAACAACAACAACAACAACAACAACAACAACAACAACCACAACCACAACGACGACGACGACGACGACGACGACGACGACGACGACGACGGTTCCGGCCTGATACTTCCTCCAACGTATTCCAAGATCACGCTCTCGCGCGGGATTTCCTCACAGTGACTTCCTTAATGTATACAGGAATCGCGCTCTCGCGTGGAACTTCCTCACAGTTAACTCGGACGCCGCACCCTCGACACTCAGGAATCACGCCCTCACTTTGGCTTTTCTCACGATTTTCTTGGGAATCGCGCAACCGCTCGAAATTTGCTCGCGATTCTTGCAGGACTTGCGTTTCGGCAACCCGCCTGCTCGACCTGGCCACCTGGGATCACCTTCCCGATCCGCCTGCTAGTGTCCGCGCGCCCGATCTGCCCGTCTGGTTCTGCCACATGTTTTGTGCTCCCAGCACCCTCCTGCGAATTCTCTCGTGCTCCATCCTTCTCCCTCTCCCTTCCATCCGTCCTCCCTTCCCCTGTTTTTAGGGGCTGCGCTAAATGCATGTTGCAGGTAAGGAAGATATACTCCCAAGGGTGTGCGATCGAAGACGAAGAGGGCGGGTGCCGAGGAATTGGGATCGGATTTCACGTGTTGAATGGCATGCGAGCCAATAGGAGCGAATCCTCATAAAATGATTGTGGTTGTTGTTGGTTGTTGTTGCTGATGCTGATGTTGTTGGTGGTGTTGTTGTTGTTGTTGAATGGCCGATTTCGGCGGCCAGAACGCTCGAGCGCGAGCCTCGCTTGCACGAGAAATGCTGTCGGCGTCGAGGCGAGAACGCCAGGGCAGATTGAGGGGGTCCAACAGCAGTGATTGGAATGCAATTAAGATTCACAGAAAAAACGGGGCGGATAATCCAGGGCAGGCTGGTTCGTCGCACAGGTTCTCCGCGGCTGGCCGTCAGCGCTCTCTTGAGCCAGCTTACTGTCTTCGTGTTACCAGCGGGAACGCAAAACCAGGAACGGAACGGCTGATTTTCTGGCCACGGCGAGCCTCGGCCACGACCACATCCCCCGATCTAGCTCCCAGGAGGGGCCGGAGACCCAGAGCCCCTCCTGAGCCCCAAAGTTGTCCTTGTGTCAGCGTCTTGGCTGCAGAACGAGAAGCAGGAGGAGAGAAGGAGGAGGCGGAGGGGCGGAGGTCTGACGCTGTGATCATCCGATCACAATCCGCGCAACGAAGAAACGAAGGGGTGGAGCGAGCGCAGACCTGCTCACCCCCATAATGGAGGAAGAGGAACATGCATAAAGCTTGAACTTTCGAAGCTCCGAAAGATTATGTTTATGCAAATGTCGTTATTCTAGATTCTTACCTCGTCATCCTGTCCCACCTGAGCCGCCGCAAATCCAGGGGAACCGCGCGGGCCTCTGGAAATGTTGGGCTACACCATTTCCCGCTCTGCGACATAAGCCGGGCGATCCTGGCTGACTGTCTCGCTGGCCAGCAGAGGGAATTCAGGCTCGGGCAGGCTCGCCAGGTAGTCCCGCGGCTCGAAATGCCTCATCTCCTGCAGGGCGGGGCCGTCCCGTGGCGGGGGCCGCCGTGCGCGGAGAAGCTCCAGCGTCATCAGTCGCAGCAGGGGAAGATCTGCGAGTGCAGATGAATATGCGCGCACGCCAAAATTCTCGACGTCGGCGCTGCTCGGAAGGGCGAAGACGTGGAACACGAGGGCCTGGGGGGCCCTCTGGGGCCCCAGCCGACACCGGCACGAGCCCCGGAAACGCCGACCCGATGTGTTTTTGATCTACTGGTACCTCGGGCGCCTTGCAAATTTTGATCGACGTGTTTGAGCGGGTTCCCTCTCAGTACGTGTGCCTCTTGGCTCAAGCTGTTGACAGCACCAGCGTTTGGCATACCACTGCAGCCACGATAACTTCTTGAGGGGAACTCAACACCTGGCCTGCTAAAAAGAAGTCCTTTTAGCCGCCTTCGAGTGGTACCCGCTCGTGATATCAACCAGAGGGGACCAAACGCAGCAAGGACAAGCAAACATAAGCGCTGGAAAAAAAGGCAGGCGCGGGCCACAGACACACAGATACAAAGAGCGAGAGGTTGCGTACCCACACACACACACACGCATACGCAAATAAGCACGTACACGCATGCACACATGCACGCGTGTTTACATACCTACACACATACATACATACATACAGACAGACAGACAGACAGACAGACAGACATACATACATACATACATACATACATACATGGCCCAAGACTCGAGGCAGACGACACCGCTCACCAGAACTGACTGAGAGGCTGCGCCCTTTTTACTCCGCAAGGCTTACCTGAGGCAAAGTCGATTCTGCGAGCGTGCACGAGCAGAAGATACATCGACATCAGTAATAACCTGAAGCTCTGCCGGCAGAAATGCACGTTAAAAGATACTCAGACTGGAGCACAGTTGCACAACACACTGACTGATGGCACACCCAGTTGGGAGGACGCGGGAGGGTGAGCCACTAAAAGGCAGCAGGGACAGGCACACTGCTGCAGGCGGTGAGCTACACTGCGGGGGGCCAATCCAGGTCAGAGACAAATCATGGCCCAAGACTCGAGGCAGACGACACCGCTCACCAGAACTGACTGAGAGGCTGCTCCCTTTTTACTCCGCAAGGCTTACCTGAGGCAAGGTCGATTCTGCGAGCGTGCACGAGCAGAAGATACATTGACATCAGTAATCACCTGAAGCTCTGCATAAAAGCTACTCAGACTGGAGCACAGCTGCACAGCACACTGACTGATGGCACACCCCATATCCCACATGATGGACTGAAGGGCGGAGAGGGTGGGTGCCGAAAAGAAATGAGGCCAAACACTCAACGAAGCAATCGGGCTTTCAACTGAGTGAGTTCGCCAGGGAAATACTGAAGCTGAACGCGCGGCACCTTCTCTAGCTGTCGCATCAAAGTGCCTGCCTTTTCGTGGCGCCTGACTGAGGAGGCGGCCCGCCACATCCCACGCTTCTGAATGTCGGGGATGATGCGGAGGCCCCTCGCGGCGTCTACTGACGGGCCGCCGTGGCGGGCGCAGTGGGGGGTCACATCTAAGCGGTGCAGCTGAAGGGCCGCGACCGCGGCGTTGAAATGCTTTTCGTACTGGGCCAGCGTCAGCGGGAAGAGCGGCCGATGCGGCTGGCGCTGGCCCTTCAGCTTCACGAGGAGGTCGGCCGCGAAGCTCCGACCGGCCTTGAAGCTCGCCTGGTCTCCGAAGATCAGCGTCATGTCGTGCTCGTTGTTCTTGAGCCGCGGGCGGGGCTCGGCTCCATCGTCGGCGTGGAGCGGCGCGATGGTGACCGTCACGCGAGGGTGCCCCCTGGCCACCCCGCCCGCGGCGACGTGCACGTCGGCGCCATTGATCCTCAGCGCGCTGGACGGACGGAGGTACCCGTCGAAGCTGGTGACGAGCGCCCCCGTGGCGGCTTCGCTGAGGGGCCCCTGCTGGATCATGTGGTCGGCGATCAGGACAGCGGCCTCCCACGGCAGCGGGTCGCGGACCCGCTCTGGCCCGGCCTGGCTCCAGCCGGCGAGCGCGCCCCAGCTGAGCGGCAGCGTGGCGGGGGTCCGTCTCGGGTAGCGCAGGCAGTGGATGGTCCCGTGCACCGCGTAGCGGCCCTCGGCCAACGCCTTGCCTCCGAAGTAGAGCGCGTCGAGGTAGTCCTCCATCGCTCGATCGACGAGGTCGTGAGTCGTGAGAGGACGGCCCTGCTGTTGAGCCCAAACCTTGAACTTCGTGTAGGAGTCGAGGTACCTGCTGGCTGTGATGGGCCTGACTCGGCGCGTCTGGAGGTAGGGCCTTGGCTGCTGCTCGGCGCGGGCGCGCCTCCTGGCCGCCAGGACTGCGGGCTCGACGCAGTTCCGCCGTCGGCGGGCCCCTGCGACTGGCTCGTGCCGCAGCACAGCGGGCCCCCCTTTGGGGGGCCTCGGGAGGCCACTCGGGCGGATAGCCCCTCGGGCAGCGCGGCCGCGGCCTGACGAGGTCGCCAGTGGGCCGCCCGACAGCGGCCGCCAGGTGAGCCTCCCAGTCGTCGGAGACCTGTGGATCGCCATGCCGGCGCCGAGCCGAGGAGGGCGCAACGGCACCCAGCGCCTTGGCCCAGGCTCGGCACAGCGCCGGTGGGTGCGAACCCGCCAAGGAGGTCTTCCACCGACTTCGGATTGAACCATCGATGGCCACGGAGACTTTGCCCTCGAGGATCTCATGAGCGTGGCCTCCAGAGCATACACGTCCAATGACAGATAGATCAGGATTATCTGAAATGACGAATGCAGGCTTCTTTAATGTGCAACCGTACTGGCAATAGTGAATGAGGATCTTGACAGACTCAACTGAGGAGATAAAAGACGCCACGGGAGCCCATGTGATCAGCTTGGAGGACGCGGGGTTCTCGAGAGACCAGTGCGCGTTGAAGTCCCTGCAGAGCCTCATGAGTTCTAAGGCGCGACGGGCTAGATGGGGCCCTTGACGGCGATGTTGGGAGCGAGCCGCCCCAGTAGCCTGGCTCCACGCGATACATGGAGTCCCAAAGTGCACCCGCCAGAGCTTCCGAGACCTGATCCACGACGCCAGGACATTGAAGACCCTGTAACCCAGGATGTCGAAGTGCGAGCCGTTCCTCAGGTCCACCGGGGCCGTCGCCAAGAGGCCCAGGCCCCTGAGGGCGGCGGTGAGCCGGGCGCAGCCCGCGAAGATCTCGCAGAAAGATTTGGGGCGACGGGAAGCACGAGGACGAGATGCTGCGAACAAGGGCTTTTTGCACTCTGCCTCCCTCGGAGCAGGCGCGGCGATGACCTCCGCCGTCTCTGAGGCTGCCTCTTCGGTAACCTCCGGGATATCAAACGATTGTGGTGGCTGCGGCGCTGGCGCGACCTCTGGCAGGCAGCGGCGGCCGCGGCAGGCATGCAGGCCGGCCGCGCGAGCAAGGCGCCGCTGGGCACCGTGCGCGGTCAGGCCGCTGGCAGAGCCTGCGGCAGGTCGGGCAGCCGGCAAACCCTCGGCTGGAGGAGGCGGCCCCAAACTGGCCACGATGGCGGCCAGGGCAGCGGGCGGCCCCCACTGCGGCTGCCCGGGCTGCACCTCCCCGCGGTCGGCCGCTCTGGAGTCGTAGTCGGTCGGGTTGCGGTCCGTCTCGACGTGCCGCTGCCGCCGCTGGATGTCGGCGGAGATCTGCCTCGCGGCAGCGACCCGACAAAGCTGTCTGAGGGCAAAGTCGCGGGCGCGGCCCTTCTCGAAGCTGAGGAGGGCGGCCGCGTTGTCGCCCATGCTGCCCGCGCGGTGGCCATGCATCCTGGTGCTCCGCGAGGCCCTGATCAGGCCGAGCAGCTGCGCGCGCGCCTCCTTCAATTGGATAGGGGCCGCGTACCTCCAGGCACCTCGGGCGATAAGAGCCCAGCGATGGCGGACGACCACGGCGTCGGCCACGGGAGTCACCACCCCGTCAAGCTCGAGCGCGGCCGCGCGCGCGGGCCGACGGCCCAGACAGGCGGCCCCGCGATGCTCATCATCAAAATCGAAAGCGGGGTCGCCCACAAACCCCGCCGCGAGGGTAGCTGTGGCCTCGGCGGCGATAGCGGCGGGTGGACCGTCAGCCGCCCCAGTCAAGAAGGTAGGCTCTACGTCCAAGAAACGCCAGCGCCCCCGCGCACTGAAGGTGTCGAGCAGCTCGTCGTCCGACAAGCAGGCCTCGCGCAGCGCGTAGCCGTAGGTGCTGGCGTCGCTGCAGTAGGTGACCGGGGCCCACGGTGCCCCGAGGTCCACTTCCACCAGGAAGATCAGGCCCTCGGCGACACGGATCTCGCCCAAGAGGTCGGGCTGGAACTTGGCGAACCTCTCGCGGCGCTCCGCGATGAAGTGGTTGCACCACCTACGCCTATGAGGTGATGGAGGCCCAAGTAGAGCTTCCAGGCCCACTTGTCGGTATGCCTGAGCTTCCGCGCCTGCCCATCGAAGACTACTCCGACGGACTCGTAGAGGCGGGTCGGCTCGACCTTCTCGTGGTAGGCGAGGTTCAGGCGATCCAGCTCCGCGCAGACCTCGTCGAGGGCCGCGCCGACGTCCTCCGCGCAGACGCCGAAGAGGTTGGCGTTGTCCACGTAGGGCGATACCTGGGGCCGCCCCAGGGCGAAGGGCGGCACGGGCCTCTTGTCCGAGGTCACACACGGGTATGGGGACCCAGCAAGGGGAGCGACGGCCTCTGTCTCCGCTGACTCGGTCACAAGTTGGCAAAACCAGAGAGACCAACTCCAGCCCATCGGCAGACCCCTGAAGACGGGGAAAATCCTCGTGTCACTAGAGACCTGACCGAAAGTGCGAGTGTCCGTGAAATAAACGTCGGGATCGCCAAAGAAGCCTGCGGCCTCTGGGAAGTCGAAGCCGAACCAGTCCGCGAGGTCGTCGTCGACGAACTGGTAGAAACCGTCGCGTAGGTCCACGCCAGCGCCACGCGGGTCGACCTCGGCGTCAGCGAGGCCCGCCCTCCGCAGCGCCGAAGGTGAGAGGTCAAGGCCAGCCAGCGCTCCCGCAGAGCCGAGGGCAGAATGAGGAGGCCGTCGGCGCAGGCTCGAAGTTTCACGACCGTCGAGGACTAGGCGCAGCATGCCGTCCCTCTTGGCGACGAAGAAAGCTCCGATCCGGGCACGGATGCCCAACCTGAACCCCGCCAGACCCACGGCGTGCAGGCGCATGACGACGAAGCCCCTGCGAGCCGCCCTGTCATGGCGGAGGCGAGGGCCCCAGTAAGGGCGCACTGGAGTGATAAGCCCCTGCTCTGTCAGCGCGTCAATCTCCGAGGCGGCGCGGTAGATCATGCTGTCAGCGTTGTCGAGGGCGCGGACACCAGCCGGCGGCAGCCTCTCACAGAGCGGCCGCGGCGTGACCAAACCCCTGAGGACCCGAAGCTTCGACGGGTCGCAAGGTCGTAGGTGCTGAGGCTGGTCTGAGTACATGTCCGTGGACTCCAGGAGGCCGTAGAAGGCGTCGCTCGGCGCCACAGCTGGCCGAAAGGGGAAGCGCGACACCTTGGCCCAAGTCCTGCGAAGGATGGAACGCTGCGCCCAAGTCGGGCGCCGCCCCGTCGGAGCATGGTGGGCCCTCAAGGCCCGAGACGGGGCATCGAGTGCGTTGAGGGAGCGAAGTGCCTCCCTGCACCGTCTCTCGCACGAAGGCTGCCTGGCGCGGCAGCCGTGCGCGAACTCCCATCGGCGAAGCACCGGAAGAGGAAAAGGATCACCGTGGGCACGGCCACGAAGTGCACGATAGTCACCTCGATCGGCTTGGCGCCCCCGTCGAGCTCGGTGAAGGCGGCGGCGAGGCAGACGTCGGCGGGGATGGAGCCGAGCTAGCCTCCTCCATCTAGACCTCGCCGCCGCGGCCCCCGCGGGGGCTAGCCGCCGTCGTGGGTGGTCTCGGCGCCGCGGCCGCGGCCTCCGCCGCGCCCGCGGCCCCGGCCGCGGCCTGCCTCCTCGCCTGAGCCCCTGCTGCCGCCTCCACCGCCGCCGTGCGCCAGGTGGCCCGCCTACTCGTGCCAGAGGCGCAACCGCTTGAGGCGCTGTGCCTCCTCCCGCTGGAGGCTCGACACGAAGCTGCGGAACTCGGGGAGCAGGGCGCGTCCATCTTCGCCGAGGAGGCGTGGAGCGCGCCCTGGCCCAGTGGCCTTCAAGCGCTCCCGCTCGGCGTGCTCGGCCTCCTCGACCAGGGCGGCGGCGACCCACTTCCCGTCGATGCGCGCCAGCGCCGTGTTCTCGCGGATGATCATCTGGTCGCCGTCGCCGATGATGCCCTCGGGGATCTCGTTGCCGAAGGCGTCGTGCGCGGGATCTGCGACACGCCAGCGGCCCCCCTGCGGTAGTGCGCCAGCGGCGCCAACCGATCCGAGGACTTCGAGGTCGCGGCCCGCGCGACGCATGCGGGCCAACGCCCCCGGCTCGATCGGCACGTCGAAGAAGCAGGTTTCGGCCAAGAGCCGTCGGGGCAGGTCCTCGTCGCGGCCGAAGGGAATGACACGATGCTATGATAAGTCGGCTAGCTGAACGTCGAAGTCGGGTGTTCCAACGATCCATATTCCCGGAGTGGGAGTGGCAAAGGGCAAGACCCGTCCGTGATACCGAAAGCCGTTGGGGTCACAGAAACTGACGAGCACTTGGCGCTCAGGTATGTCCAAAGACTTAGACATGGGCCCTCAGCGAGGACGGAGTCGCTGCTGAACGTGGGAGAACGAGAGGCGCTGGGTGATCAGCGGGGGCGTCGACCAAGGGAGCCTGGCGTATCACCTCACGATGACCTGAAGCCGCGGCGCGGCGGGTAAGGGATACCGCACACGAACCCAGTAAGGTGAGAAGCGAGCCCACCACGCAGCCCAAGATGAATAGAAGCGTCAACGAGAACTTTGAGCAGGCCTCCTCCTGCGAGCCGTCGCAGGTACCTCGAAGCTGAGCCCTTGCACTCGCGCGCTCCTGGTAGGCGTCCTGGATCACGTCCAGCGACCGCATCAGCACAGGCAGGACCGCGTCGCGAGAGAGCGGCTCGGCGCCGCAGGTATCCACAGCACACACGCACGCAGGGCAATCGGGCGGGCCGCGGGCCAGCACGAACAACTGCAGGGAGGAAGCGAATTTTTGGTAAGCAGCTCCTGCGAGACCCGGATCGACCATCCGGGATTTCTTGAGCCACTAAAAGGCAGCAGGGACAGGCACACTGCTGCAGGCGGTGAGCTACACTGCGGGGGGCCAGTCCAGGTCACAGACAAATCATACATGCATGCATGCGTACGTGCAGCAATGTATGCACGCACGTATATATATATATATATATATACATGCATGCACATAGACATGCATACATACATGCATGCATTAATGAATGCATGCATGCATGCACAACTACCCACAAACTTATACCTACATACATGCATGTATGTATGCATACATGCATGCAAACCATCGATATATATGTATACACATAGTTATACATACATATATGTATACATACATACCTACATACATGCATACGTATATACATAATTACATATATACATGCATGCATGCATACATACGTATATGCATACGTGCGTACGTGCGTGAGTCCATAAATACATACATACAGGCATGCATACATATATACATGCATGCATACGTACTTACATGCATACTTACATACATACCTACATACGTACACATATTCACACATACATGCATGAAACGGGACTGGTGGTAATGACCAGTTAACAAGCAATGACGACTCCTCAATCTCAGTGCGCACATGGTCGAAATCGACCTGACTCGCGTAGAAGCTCCGTGAGCCACCACGCAAACTCAACGATTAGACACTGAGCAAGAATCGTCGCGGGGGCAAGAACTGGCCAGCAAGATACAATTTACGCCCAATCGTATCACCTACCCGCGACGGCATCCTGGGTGCACAGACGAAGTGAACTAATCCGCGACGCATCGCCAAGCAGGCCAAATTCAAAACTTGGGAGTCCCACGCATGCCACACAGGCGGAACGCAGGAAGAGGAAGAGGAGCAGCAGCAGCGGCACAGAGCAGGAGAGCCGAGCACAAAGCACATATGCACACCGACACACAAACACACAGACACACAGCGCAGACTCGCGTCGCACGCTAGCGGGAGGCGCAGCATCACATTCATCCGCATGTATGGCGAATATGCTCGAACCCAGCCGTGCAATCCTGGCCGAGGGGAAGCAAGAGAGAGAGAGAGAGACAACAAAGCAGAAAGACACTCTCTCTCTCTCTCACACACACACACGCGCGCTCGTTCGTACATGCACCGCTAACGTTCATTTTTGTCCCGGAACAATGTTACAACAACGATTCAAATCCACCGATCCGGCGTGTGAATTTAAGAAAACTACAACCTGAGCTTCAGCTCTGCTGGGGGGGGGCGGGGGGGCTCTGCTGGGGTAGGGGGGGGGGGGGGGGGGGTCATGGGGTCCACCCTTTTTTTCCCCCCCCCCCGGGAATCCCAAACCGCCCCAAGACGGGCCAAAAGGGGCCCAGGAGGCCACCAAGACGGTCCAGGAGGCGCCCGAAACGGCCCAAGAGCGCCCCTGGACGCCCAAGATGGCCTGAAGACGGCCCAAGAGGCCTCCAAGACGCCTCAAGGAGATCCCAAGAGGACCCCCAAGAGGGCCCCAAGAGGGTACAACAATAAAAATGCTAATAGCTTTTGAAGCATTTTAACCATTATCGCCTTTTCCGTCTTAGAAGCGCCGAAGACGGTCCAAGAGGCCCCCAATATCGCCCCAAGACAGCCCAAGAGGCCCCGAAGAGGAGCCAAGACGGTCCAAGAGGGCCCCAATATAGCCCTGGAGGCCCCCCAAGACGACCCCGAGAGGCCCCCAAAATGGCTTCAAGAGGGTGAATCCGAACGGACCTAGTCCTCCACCCCAAGATGACCCCAAAAGCCCCCAAGATGCCCCCGAGGCGCCCCCAAGGGGCCCCCAGAGGCCCCCAAGAGGTCCCCAATAGGCCCGCAAGAGGACCCCGAGAGGCACCCAAGAGGCCCCAAAGGCCCCCAAGAAGCCCCAAGAACCAAGAGGCCCCAAGAGGCGCTCACTCGCGTGCTGCCAGGCCAGAGGTGCACGGCCTGACTTGGTATTGCTCGGAAGCGAAAGCGATGAATGAACGAAGGACCTGCCACCCGTCGCCGTCCGGGTCGTCGGCCGTCGGCAGCCGTTCGCCGTCAGTCGTCGTCGTCGTCGTCGTCGTCGTCGTCGTCGTCGTCGTCGTCGTCGTCGTCGTCGTCGTCGGTTCGTCGTCATTAACTCCTTCGTCGGTCGTCGTCGTAATTATCCCGCTCGTCGACCGTTGGTCGTCCGTTGTTGTCGTCATCGTCCATTTCAACAACAATAGCATCAGGATCGCTTTGGATCGGCGGCACTGGCCGGAGGCCACTACAATGATGACGACAGCCAGCAACGGCCACACCACCACTCCAACCACCACGTGCGCACAAAGGTGGCCCGCCCGCTGAGGCAGTTACACACACGCAGGCCGCCGCCCGCGCGCCCCGCGAGCCAGGAGCACCCGTGCACACCGCGGACGTCGCTGCTCGTGGGCGGCGCAGGCGCGACAGGATGACGAGCTAGGAGCCCAGACCTCCGACGATCCGATGATTCAATCTCGGCATTTGTTTCGGCATTTGTTCAATCGAAAATGGGCCACATCCCCAGCTCGGGGAGGCATCGTGGAGCCCTCGCTGGAGATGGCCCGCCTGGTGGTGGTGGTGCCGAACGAGTGGGAGACGAATGTGGGGAGTGAGATAGAAGACTCGAATTCAGGGGGACTCGATTTGGCGTCATTCGGGGATGGTCAGAAACCCCTTGGGCGAAAACGTGGTTTCGTGAAAAAAGCCTCGGGCCCTAACCTGGCGGGCGCGAGCCTGGAAAAGGACGGCCGCGGAGCCCTCTCGAGAACCGAGAACGGACGGTTCACTAATCGACGTGGCAGGATGGGGGTTCTGTCCACCCCCGAGGCCGTAGTGTTAGGTCGGGCCTGTACTCCTACACGGGGGGGATTTTGAGCGAAAAAACAAAAAAGAGTCAAACAATATCCCAAAATGGATGGAACAAATATTCAGAAAATCGTCCCCATACTATTTCTTGACTATTTCTGAATACTCCTCCTGTAAAGGGACAGGCTGGAACAATCAAAACGCGGCGGCAGATCGGCGCTCCGGCAGGCCCGAGTCTCACGAGACTCCGAGGAGAACGGGGCACACCGAGGCGAAACCGCACTCGGAGGCGACGATAGGGGCGAATAGCCCAGGGGAGAGCTCTACGTGTATGTACTCAGGTGCGCCGATGATCTATGTCTTCGGAAAGGCTCCCGGGCGAATGCGTGTAATGCCCGCCCCTGGGCTCTTCGCCTCTAATTATCGTCGCCGCCGACGCACGCTCAATGGGCAGAGTGGGGCACTCCAGCCCCGACCGGCGACGAATGGGCAGGCCTTCGCCATCTGCTGGTTTGGTCCGATTTGATCCGGCCAAGTTCGCCAACTGCCGATTTGGTCCGATGTGGCCCGGCCTGGCCCGGCTGTTTTGCGTTTCTGCAGGCGAACGCCAGGTTCGCCCTCTGCCGATTTGGTCCGATCGGGCTCGGCCTCTGCTGTCTGGCGCTTCAGCGGCGGGGCGCCAGGTTCGCCAACTGCCGATTTGGTCCGATTTGGCCCGGCCTGGGCCTTCGCCATCTGCCGGTTTGGTCCGGTTTGGCCCGGCGGGGGCTGTTCGCCAACCTGCAGCGGGACGCCAGGTTCGCCAACTGCCGATTTGGTCCTGTCCCGGCTGTTTTGCGTTTCTGCAGACGAACGCCAGGTTCGCCCTCTGCCGATTTGGTCCGATGTGCCTCGGCCTGGGCTGTCTGGCGCTTCTGCGACGGGTCGCCAGGGTCGCCAACTGCCCAAAAACTGCGGACAAGGTGCCCGCTCCTGAAGCAGAGCAGGTGGCACGCGTGCCCTGGCTCTTGCACCAAGGAGATGCGAGGGACAGGAGGCTTTCGCCTCCTTCCTCCAGGAGTTTCCTTCCGTGGCCAGGCGGGGGAGGACGAACGACGAACGACGAACGAACGGCGAACGAAAATAAAGAGGTCCGAGCTCTAGAACACGGCTGTACAAGAGAATAAACAACTATACGTAGTCGTGATCTGGGAGATCCCCTCGGAGTTCTCGGGTCGGCGCAGGAAACCACTCACTTGCGCGCCAGCACCGTGTAGGGGTCCGGGGCGGACCCAAGAAATCCGCGCGCGGACCTCCAAACGTTGATGTGCATGCCGTCTTTCGTGCAGGGGCCCAGGGACACAAATAAATTATCATAAACTCAGGATTGCCCTTATTTCCCATATTTCCGGGTTGCTCGTCTTTCCCTCCACTTCCGATATGTTTCATGTTTTCCTGGAAATCGACGAGTCTGTGTGTCCGCATGCTTTCTGGCCGTCCTGATCTTTCATCGATGAAGGAAGAAAGGCGCCCTCCTCCTCGATGAGGCCCTTCACCTGCTGAGCGACCTGAGAGGAACCATGTAACTCGGGCCTGCGAACTGGCAGCTGGGAGCAGGGCATCCACGGGGCAGCGCCTTGCGCCTGACCCAGGGCCGCTGGGCTTATGAGGCCGACTCCGAGAAATCAAGTAAACGCCGGCTTTTCGGAGGGAGGAGGGAGAGAAGGAGAATACGATACGATACGGTAAGATACGATGTTCACACCATGAACGCCATGTTGTTCGAGTGTCAAGTGAGTACTGAAATCACCCTTGCTCCCAAAAGCGCCGCAGCACTGACTGGAGGCAATTGGCGCGGTGAACCTCGTGCTTTGGAGGAAGTGCGCATACCATGCTCTACGCGCTGGAAGGAGGAGGAGAGGAAAGCTGTGTGGGCATCTCGGAGCGCCACACGGAGCGTAGCATCGTTTGGGAGCCGCCGCTTTTGCCCAGAGTGTTATGGCGCTGACGTGTCTCTAGGATCAGGGGCTGCTAGGGGTGCCCCCCCTGGACTGGTGAGCGTTTTCCTATCCGGCGTTTCGACATTGGGCGGAAGGGGGGGGGGACGGGGGGGCTGGTTCTGGACCTCTGCTGAGTGCGACTGTTTGCAACGGTGCGTCCTATGGGGGAGCCTCCACCTACGTGAAGCAGGCGCCAAAAGCAGCCAAGATCCACTCCATTGAGGGGGGAGGGCGGGTGCGAGGGCCCGCTCCGATCGGCAAACCAATGAAAAAGAGAACGATAACCTGAGGTGTCCCCCACCTTCCGCGCTGCTCAGAAGCAGCCCCAAGCGCCCCTTCTGGGCCTCGTGAGGCTGCTCCGGAGGCCGAGGCGGCCTGCCTGAAAGTCCTTGGGACACTCGGGGCCAGGCTGAAGTGGGGCGTGTCCTCCTACAGGCAGATTTTGGGCGAAACTTTCAAGACAGTCCAACAAAATTACCCCCCCCCAAAAAAAAAGCTTTTCCATATTATGTTTTCAATATTTTTCCATATTTTTCCTGTAGAGGGACACCCGTAGTGACATGACACGAAGCGGGGCCTGGGTCCTGGGGGCTCTCCCCAGGACCAGCTCCTCGCCCCGAGCCCCTTTCGGGAGCCCGAGCACGGCGAAAGAACTCAGCACCCCTGCACTTCGCGGCGACCTTGGCAGCACCCAGCAATGAGGGGGGGGGAGGGGGGGGCAGCCTTTGCTCCTGCACGGCCTCTGCCAGGCTCGCCAGTCCACCCAACTCAGCGCGCTGCGCCCCGTCGGTGCTCGACGCGAGGTCATCCCCCCGGCCTCGGAGAGGGCGGCTGCCCCGCCCAAGGCCGCGACGCGCGAAGCGCGATCACGGTCAGGGGCATTTGCTTCGTGTCGCGGCAGCGTCCCCAGCGACACGCTGCACCTTGCAAGCAGATAGCGTGTCGCTCCGCTCCAGGAAAGCTGGGGACCCTTGGCGCCCGGGAACCGACGACGCGGCCAGCGTGCCGCGCCGAACAGGCCGCGCAGCACGCTGAGCTGAAGTTCCCGACCGCCTCTTCGCGCCCCTGCGGGTGACCCAGGACTTCCACTGGCGAAGCCACCCTCGCCGAAGGTCGGGCGTGTCCTCCTGCAGGGGGATTTTTGGCGAAAAACCAAACATGGTCCCAAAATGCAAATACTCGAAAAAAACGTCCCCAGACTGTTTTGACTGTTTTTGAAAATTCCTCCTGTAGAGGGGGCAGGCCTGGCTTAACCCTCGCCTCTCTGTTGCTTCCGCCGGCGCCCGCGACCTGCCGGGGCCTCCCCCGCCAAAAAAGGGCGAGGCGCCAAGCCTTCCGCCCCCTCGAGGGTGGGGCCCCGCCTGGAGCGCCGCACGCCTGCTCTGCAACGCCGCGTGGCCGACTCCAGGAAGCCCGAATCCGAAAACGTGGACGCCTCGCTCCTCCTCCTCCTCCTCCTCCTCTTCCTCCTCCTCTTCCTCCTCCTCTCCCTTTCCTCCTCTTCCTTTCCTCCTCTTCCTACTCCTCCTCTTCCTCCTCCTCCTCCTCCTCCTCCTCGCTTTCACTTCCGCCTGCCTGCCGCCAGCTTCCAGCGGCTGATCGCCTGCATGCGAGAGGTGCGCTGCCTTTGGGGGCCTCAGAGGGGGGGAGGGGGTCAGACTCAAGCGCTCAGGCCAGTGCTGGGGGGACCCCATGTGGGTCCGCACCAAAGGTCGCTCCAGCAAGGGGACACCGCGCAGCCGAGCAGGGCCGCCACCGTCTTTCTTCCCGCCAGCCTTCCGCTGGCTTCCGCCCATCGCAAGGTGCAGCAAGGGCGAGGCCCTTTCTGGAACGGACCATCTGAGCCTACCGCTCAGGGCTTTTGGCATCGGTATCTGGTGAAGACCTCCACCTGGCCGAGCTGCGTGTCGATGTAGGGGAGCGCGTCCACCTGCGTGCCGTCGGCAGGCAGTCCGGCGCAGCTCCTCCTCCTCCTCCTCCTCCTCCTCCTCGTCGTCGTCGTCGTCGTCGTCATCGTCGTCATTGTCATCGTCATCGTCAGCGTCACCACCACTCTCATGATTGCAATCATTCCCCCCCATCAGTATTATCATAACCAGAACCCCATCATCGTGGGAATCCACATCAGCTGCAGTAGCATCATCATCACCACCATCACCACCATCATCAGCAACGTTATCAAACTAATCATCATAATCATCATAGTCATAATCATCCTCATCAGCATCATCATCGTCATCCTCATCATCATCCTCATGATCATCATCATCATCATCATCATCAGCATCATCATCATCATAATCATCATCATCATCATCATCACCATCCTCCTCAGCAGCAGTCACATCCTCGCCCTCGTCAACTAGATAGGCATCGTCATCAGCATCGTCGACATCATCATCATCATCATCATCATCATCATCACCATCACCATCAGCAACATCATCCTTATCATCATCAACATCATAATCAGCATCAGCATCGCCATCATCATCAGCAGCAGTCTCATCATCATCATCAGCATCATTTAGCAGCAGTATCAGCATCAGTATCATCGTAATCCTCCTCATCATCAGCATCATCAGCATCCTCATCATCATCGCCAGCATCATAATCATCATCATCATAATCATCAGCGCCAGCAGCATCATCTTCACCATAATCATCAGCATCATCATCTTCATTATCAGCATCATCAGCAGCATCGTTTGCATCGTCATCCTCCTCACCATCACCATCCTCATCCCAATCCTCATCCTCACAATCATCCTCATCCTCATCATCGTCCTCATCCTCAGCATCGTCGTCATCAGCATCAACATCATCAGCATCGTCAGCATTATCATCGTCATTTGCATCCGCAGCATAACGATCATCATCAGCAGCAGCATCAGCATCAGCAGCAGCACAATCATCGTCATCATCATCAGCAGCAACTTCATGATCGACATCATCATCAGCATCATCATCATCATCATCACCATCAGCAGCAGCCTCATCATCATCAGCAGCATCATCAGCAGCAGCATCTTCATCAGCATCATCATCATCATCATCAGCAGCAGCATCAGCATCAGCAGCATCATCAGCAGCAGCATCCTCATCAGCATCATCATCATCAGCAGCATCATCATCGTCGTCATCAGCACCAATCCTGCTCAGCCAATCACCACCACTATCCTCCTCCTCCTCCTCCTCCTCCTCCTCATCCTCCTCCTCCCGGTGGGGGGGCACCATGTGGTAGTTCTCGTTCTCCATGTACAGCAGCTCCGGCGGCTCGCCCTCCGCCGTGTCTGCCATCGCCATCGCCGCGCGATGGCCGCCGCCCCCAGCGCTATGCCCACGCGTCGCGAGCCCGAGGGGAGGCCGCGGCCTAGGCCTAAAACGAAGGAAAGCGACGGCTGGACGAGCGCGCTTCCTCCTCTTCCTCTTCCCGTTCCTCCTTCTGCTCCTCATGTTCCTTCTCCTCCTCCTCCTCCTCCTCCTTCTCCTCGTCCTCCTCGTTTTCCTCCTCCTCCTCCTTGCCAAAGTGTCCTCATACTCTTCGGCGATGACAAGAGGGGCGCTGACATCTAGCAGTGGGAGCAAAAGATCGGCGACTGAATGCAGCTGGTCGAGGACACCGAGGCGCTGGACAAGATCGGGCAGGCGCGCGCCATAGGGGCGTCCAGGCGAGCATATACGAAGTGTGCCCAGACGGCGCAGACAGAGCATGCAGGGATCCTCCACCAGCATGTGAAGGAGCCACGGCCAGCATTGCAGGAGCTCGTTGAAGGGGAGGCCACAGTCAGCCAGCCGGATTGCATCATGGATGGCCGAGCGCAGACGTGAGAGGACCTTTGGCTGTAGAGCGGCATCAGCCAGTAGCAGCTCCACGACCAGCTGCAGCGCACGCTGAAGGTGGCGAGGGAGGAGAATCATGCACCCCTCACTGTGGAAGAGTTCAGCGAGGCGATGGGCACGGTGGGAAGCCGTCGGCTAATTACCTGGACGTGCGCAGGCTGCCGCAGGAGGTGAAGCAGGAGATGGTGGACATCGCCAACGTCTGCGATACGGCTGGCTGCTGGCCTAGGAACTGGATCGCGGTGCTGGCGGCGACGGTGCCCAAGCTGGCTGGTGGCGACAGGGTGCTGGACTTGCTCCCGCTGCTGCCTAAGGCCTGGAGCAAGGCTCGAGGGGCGATCGTGTGGACCTGGACGGAGGAGCTCGGAGCCTTCTGGGATGGGGTCATCAAAGACTCGTCCTTGCTGCGGGCGGCGCTGCATCGAGCAGTGCTGGACGAGACGGGGCGCGAGCTGGGCACGACATCGACCACGCTCTGGTGCGACCTGCAGACCTTCTATGATGCGATCAGCCTGATGGAATTGATGGATCTGGCGGTGCAGGTGCGGTACCCCGCTATAGTGGTGTCGATGGCGGTGCAGCTCTCCATGGCGCCCAGGCTGCTGCAGGACAGGAAGTTCGGCATCAGCCAGGAGGTGCGGCCGACGAGGTCGGTGGTGGCGGGATCGGTGCGTGGCGTCAGTCTGGCCACGGTGTACATCCACCAGGTGCTGGCCAAGGCCCACGCGATGGCGCCGACAGCGGGCCTCTCGACGTTCGCGGACGACACGACGGCGAAGATGGAAGGCTCCCAGGCGGCCGTGACCACCAGCATGACGGTTATCGCGGAAGTGTTGGTGGAAGGGATCGTCGAGGAGCGGGGCCCTGTGATCTCCAGCAAGACCAAGCTCCTCTGCTCGAACCCGCGCTTCGGGAAGCAGCTGGCGGACTCCCTGAGGTCGAAGAGGCTGCCCATCCAGGCGGTGCAGGAGGCGGTGGACCTGGGAGGCGGCGCGGCTGTTGGCAGGAAGCGCTGCGTCCGCAAGCAGCGCCAGCGCACCGGCATGGCCAGGAGGCGCACGGCCAGGATCGTGAAGACGAGGCGGACGGCGGCGCTGATGCTGGAAGACAGGAACCTCTGGAGCACGGGTGCGAACCCGCAGGCCTCCTACGGCCACCAGCTGCAGGGCCTGGCGCCGAGCAGGATCAAGGAGATCCGCAGACGCCGGGACGGCCGCTGGCAAACAGGTGGACGGCCGATGTCTCACCACGGTCCTGGCGGCGACGCTGCAGAAGGACCCAGGTGTACCGCTGAGGGCCCAACTGCTGGACGGATGGCTCATGCTGCGGGGACGGCACCCGAGCTGCACGCCAGAATCCAGAACTGGCGGTCGGTGCGGCAGGCGCGGGGCACGGCTGGTCCAACCCAGCGGTGGGCGAGAGCAAAGGGCCAGCCGGAGCCAGGCCACGCTGGTGGACATCGGCTGGGAGCCGCACGGCGGTGCCCTGGGTGCGGCCCGAGCACCAGGCGCAGTGGGCACAGCCAGTCAGGATCGAGGAGGGCGGCCCCGCCTCTGAGTGGCACCTTGTCGAGGCGACGGGCGAGGCCTTCGGCTCCTTGATAGACCATCGGGTGCTGCTGCACAGCGCCAGGCGGGACATGGTGCACATGATGTGGCGAGCGGCTGCTGGGCACGAGGGCGAGCTGCGACGCATGGCCAGGCGTCAGCAGTTGACGGAGTGGTCACTGAACATGGCGGTGGCGAGCGGTAGCCAGTGGCCCAGCACGCGCCGCAGGCGAGAGGGCTTCCTGTAGTTGAGCTGTGCCATCGATGTTTTTCCGAGCCAGAAGCTCTGTTGCGCAGGATCTGGACTTGCAATGAAAATGAATGTGCTGAGTGTCCCGAGTCCCGCTGAACCCAACCCCTGGCCCCACAGGCCCTGGTGGGTTAGGAAAGCCAGCCTGGAGTCTGGCTCAGTGGGCTCCCGTCTCAGGATCTGACCTTCCCGACTTAGTTTGATGAAGCTCCGGGATCTGACCCTTCAGTTTGGAGAGGGCTGCCTGGATGACCATCGCGAGGAAGGGGTGGTGACGGTGTTCGGGGACGGGTCGGGAGGACGATTATCGGATGACCCCAGGAGAAGGCGCCGTGGAGCAGCTGTCGCCACCCTGTCTTGGGGACCTGAGGGCTGGCAGCCAGGAGCGATGATAGCTGCGCCTCTGGTTGGAATTCAGCAGAGCGTCTCGAGGGCCGAAACGTTCGCGCTGGCTTTGGGCCTCAGAATGAACCATGGGGCCCCTGTGCGACATGGCCGACCATGAGGCGTTGGTCAATGCATGGGCGGCCTGCAGCATACGGCGCAGTAGAGACAATAATGAAGATGTGTGGCATCGTGTGCGGATGGCGTTCCTCTCTCGCGGCCCTGGCTCTGTCACCCTCGAACTGATGACCTCGCATGTCGAAGAACATCTCGAACGATTGGGCCCACCTCCTGGTTTCTTCCTGGCTGCATGCAGTACGATTGGTGATGTGGGGGCGGGGAGGGCGGCGGAGGTTGCTGGGGAGGAGGCCTGCGGTCAGAGGGAGGAGAAGGCGGACACTTGGGACGCGACGGCGGCCCTGGTCAGAGCCAGAGCGTGGCGTGCCTCGCAACTGTCGCTGGAGGCGGACATCAAGCGAGCGGAGCGGGAGCAGCGGGAGAGGAGGCTCCCAAAATCCCGCCTCCAGACCCTGCTCGCCTCCTCGCCCCACTCCCTCCAGAGGGTAGGATGTAAGTGGCAGGGTAGTGTGTAAATGCAGCTGGTGCGACGTACCTATCTCGGAATGTCAGATCTCCGCCATCCCCCAGGTTCCTATAGGATAGCTGGGACTTTGTGAGACCTCCAGCGGCAAGAATGTGAGCTCGGAGGTGGAGGCCGCTTCTGGCCAACGATCTGCTGCACTTCTGTACGCGTCGCGGCAGGACAGGCACGGTGGATGTTCGTCGCCTGGCCGAGCGCTGGCCTGGCAATGCCCGGAAAGATCCAGATAACGAACTGGGAACAGACCACACCCGAGGAGGGGGGGCCTGAGAGCGGCCCTCGCGGCGCTTCACCGGGCGGAGACCGGGGAGGCGGTCGCGGCCGAGTGCGTGAAGCGCCCACCCAGTCAGAGCGAAGTATCCCTGGGGGTCTGTCCTGGAAGCCTGGGTCCTGGCCCGTCTGGGGGGCGCTCGCCGAGCGATGGGCTGTCCGAGCGGCCCGTGGCCAGGCTGGGTGGGCAGTGTTTCCGGTCACGCGGAGGGGGGGCACAACATGCGCCTGGCGCCTGCTCGCTGGGCACGTTTTTTCACGTGTCCACGGCGCCCATAAAAACACGTGCACCGTGCGCGGAGGAAGGGACCCAACATGCGCCTGGCGCGTGCGCGCGGGGCACGTATTTTCACGTGTCCACGGCGGAGGTAGCGGTTGCAGTCAAGCAAAGGGAAGGTGTTGCACGCGCGTCAGAAGAAAGTTTGACTCAAGTTCCTTACCGAGTTTGTGGATACATCAAGTTCTCCCGAGGATGCTACAGAAGTGTCCAGGGCATGCACTCATTTGTTAGCGGAGCCTATTGACCCCGAAGAGGAGGCTGCTGAATGGCTTGGCAATCGAGGGGATATGCAGCTTCCCGAGGCCTGATAAGTTTCCAGGCGGCCGCTACGAGCGGCCTGCCAACGCGAAACTGCTTTGGCAAGGTAGTCCGAGGCTGCCAGAACCAGGAGAGGAGGGAAATTCTGTACAAACGGTCGTTTTGTATAGGATTTCCCCCAGTCCAGTTTTGGTGTGTTTCTGTCTTCCTAGAAAACTGGAGGGAAACTGCGGACCAAAATTACGTTTGGTCTGCTATTTCCCACGTTCCAGTGTTGGGGGCTGGCGGCACGTCCTCTCGTTGCTCTGTGCTTCCCAGCTGCCAGGCGGCCGCGTGCTATGCTGCCCGCTGGCTTCGTGCTCTCGGCAGGGTGGTGCGATGGGCTGCGCCGCGAGGACGGCATCACTGAGAATACATTCGTTAGAATCCTCCTCCTGCTCCCTTCTCATCCTCCCTCTTGCTTCCTGGAGGTAAAGCTCACGGACGATTGAGCAAGACGAATTCGCACGGAGCGTCTCCGAGCGTCCTGGATCGGCGGCACGGGCCGGAGGCCTCTGCAACACCTGCTTAACAACTTATATTCAAGACCACCAACGCATAGCTTATCGTACACCGCATGATTTGCATCGCCAGGCTTGCGCGACATTGGCTGCACGGCATACCTCACACAACGTACACTCAAGCACAAAATGTGCCTCACCTATACTGCGCCACCTAGCGTACCCCCACAAAGCTTGTACCACGTACACTTCACCACAAAGTTCACACCACCCACACTGCACCACATGCCTGACACCACGTACACAACACCACAAACTTTACACGTTATAGATTGCACGACTTGGCTTACACCGCATAGCTTACACTACGTACCTTGCTCTGCGTAGACTGCACATCGAGTGCCATGATCAACTGTTGAGAATTCACGCTGGCAAGCATAGAATCAAAGAAGCACGTGTCCCAAGCGCTCCTGGCGGTCCGAAGATTACTATAAAGTGGCCCGAGACGGCCGCAAGACGCCCCGAGACCGGCTTGAGACAACCTCATGACTCCTCAGAGGCCCCGAAGACATCCCCAACGGGCTCTGCGTGAACGGCCCCTCGGAGGCGCCCAAGGAGCCGTCCAGCAAAGCTCACGATGGCCGCGGGAAGACCTCGGAGAGCCCCAGCACGGCCCCAAAAGAGCCCGAATAACCCCGAAGACTCCCCAAGACGGCTCCAGACGGCCTCAGGTTGAGTCTCAGTGCTCTCGTGAAGCTCTCTCGGGGTTGTTTCTGGGGCCGTGTCGGAACTTTCCTGCGCGGGAGCGCTCGCCAGACGTCGACGCTACGCTTCCATGGTGGCGGGGTTTGCCACGGGCAGCGGAAACACTCGGGGGTCCCGAACCGGTGCGGCGGCAGACTGTGCGGCGGCAGACTGTGCGGCGACCCCCCAAAGCCCCAAGAGACCTCACTTCACGGTCCGTCACAGCACGATGTTTGAAGCCTCGGAGGCCCCAGTCGCCCGAGACGCCCTCGGAGCACGGCCCGAGTCAAAAAATTGTGCGATCACCCCGAAGCCCCACGGACTCACCACGTACGGTGTGGTCACCGTCCCGTTTGCAGACCCCCGAGAGTGATGCTGCAGAGGACGGGCGGGCGGGGAGACGGCCAAGGCCGCACAGCTGACCACGAGGCTCAGGATACGATGGCCAGGGCAGCATGAATCGCAGTCGGGCCATATCGCGGCATCGGCGCCGCAGGCGGTGGCTTCCCAGGCTTCTCTCTCTCTCTCTCTCTCTCTCCCTCCTCCTCCTCCTCCTCCTCCTCCTGCTCCTCCTCTGCTCCTCCTGCTCCTGCTCCTCCTCCTGCTCCTCCTCCTGCTCCTCCTGTTCCTCCTCCTCTTCCTCCTCCTCCTCCTCCTCCTCCTCCTCCTCCTCTCCTCCTCCTCCTCCTCTCCCTCCTCCCCCTCCTCCCCCTCCCCCTCCTCCTCCTCCTCCTCCTCCTGCTCCTCTTCTTCCTTTCCTCCTCCTGATAAATAACTCCTCCCTGTCGCACCCCGAAGCCAACTTTTAGGGCGGGCCAGGCGCTTCGCATGAGACGTCCTCTTCATCTTTCTATTCGAAGGTAACAAAATTGGCAACAGCTTCACAGATGGAGGGCGGACCGTTTTTCAAAATGTGGCCCTCGCCTTAGCACCGCGCACATTCTCTTTAGAAAATTGCAAGAGCTTCACGGATTGAGCGTGGGTCGTTTTCAAAATGTGGCTCTCGCCTCAGCGCCGCGCACATTCGTTTTTAACATGTGCAAGGATTTCACGGATTGAGGGCGGGTGGTTATGAAAATGTGGCTCTCGCCTTAGCGCCGAGCACATTCGTTTTCAAGATTTGCTAAGAGTTTCACGGGTTCCCAAGATGAACGTACCAGAAATGGTGTTTTGGAAGGGTTCAGGACTATGCGGGTGCAGCAGTTATGTTGATTCGCGGTGTTGAAGTTCCAAAAACGGCGCTCTGGCACGATTCCGGATCGTCAAGACGCAGCAATCAGGTTGATACGAGCGTTGAAATCCCGAGGACAATGTTTTGGCTTGCTTCAGAATCTTCAAACGGTTGTCCCCCAACGAGGCAGTGCCCTCAATGGAAATGAACCGTTGTGGGGGCCTGTGAAGAAGGAGCTTGGAGGGCGGGTTAATTCCAACATTGTTGAAGACTCTTGGCTTTACACTGGTCCTCCTCCTCCTCCTCCTCGTCCTCCTCCTCCTCTCCTCCTCTCCTCCTCTGGGCACGGGCCGGGCTCGGCGGGCGCTGAGGGGATGTCCTCCTCGTGCTTCTGCCGCTCCTCCTCTGTCACGCTCGCCTGGGCGCAGCGAGAGACGGAAGACGGGGCTATTTGAACCCGGAAGACGAGCGCGTTCCACTACTCGCGAAGTAATTACTCGCAAATGGCCTGGATCCGCCGCGGGTGATCTGCGATACATGACATCGAAGCAGACATGTGTTTGTTCCGGACATTTGCGAATAGGCAGCTTGCGAGTAGTGGAACGCGCTCGGCGAGCAGATAAAAGTCGTCACGGTGCAGCACTAGAATAGCAGGGGCGCAGTTGTACAGGCGCGGAGCTCGCAAGCTCCGCCGGTGTGGGTCCCCTTGAGGGGCTGGAGATGCTGGACCTGGGGGACATGGAATGGTGAATCCTATGCCCCAGCCACATCCTCTGGGCCTGGGAGACCT